GGCAGAAGACGTAAAAAGAAAGGTGTGACTAAGAGCTCCCCACACTGAAACTCTTTCCTCTTCTCCCTAAAGAAAAACAGTTGTCCAGGCATGAAAGTACAGCGGGTTAAGGAGACAGAAGGGTGCATACGAAAGGGCAGTCTGCAACAAAAAAGGGAGGATTATGTTGAAACCTGTTTTGGCTTTGGGGAATGTGAAACTATTTCATTTATGTTCAGAGAAAAGCAGAAAATTGAATATTATAAAAATCCGGGGGGAAAAAAAATTACAAAAAATCTCTTAATCCAAAAGGATTGCAATATGTGATCATTGACTTAGTGTTGGATATGTTTAATTTCTTGACATTTAAGCAGGCCATATCTGGAGAAAACACTGTGCATCTTTAAGCATTAGAGGGACAAGTTGTGACCAATGGAAGTATGTAACTGTAGCCAAAGGCATTATTATTATCATTTTGAGGAGTAATTATCCTGTAAGGCCAAGCCACTTATTGTTAATGTCTTTTCTACGTAAGGTGTGATCATTGAAATGTCAAAGATCCCTAACTGGTTTCCCCTCAAGGCTACAAATAATTTTAGAGCAGAAGGGTTGTTTGGGTTTAAAATGTTTTTGTTTTTGTTGTTGTTGCTTTTTTCTGTAACTATAATTAGACTTTTGGGTAGTTCTTTACACTGCTACTCATTTTTAAATGAACAAGATGAAACGTCATGAAGAAGAAAGGTCTTATATCATCTAGTGTAAGTTGTCTGCATTACCTGTGGTAAAGCTTCATACGGCACTGCTTACTTATTATTAATGCACAAAGATTGAAAAGATTCTTTGTTTTTATCTCTTCACTTTATTCTGTCTAAAAATTGTATTGACGATTTGTGTTGACATCATAACGCTCTGATTCTTTAATAGCGGGAAAAGGTTTGCTAGAGGACACTGCTTAGGAAAAACTGTGGTTTTAGAGAGGGTTTATTCTTTTCTTTCTTATCACATTATTTTCCTTAAGCTGCAGGTTAAAATACATCTTGAAGTTGGTATGTAGAAAAGATCTGTTGGAGGAGAAGGCCAAGCAGTATTAGGAATGGGAAAATTAGAAGGGTTCGCTGCTAGTCTGCTGCCCTTTACGCCTGGCTAAGACCACACCCACGGTTACAAATCGGGTAGAGTGCTGTCTTCTTTTGTTGTCCTGAAGAACAATTCTGGGATGCATTAAGAATGCAGCGCTTTTCTCTATGATACATCATGGAGCAGGAGTTCTCTTTCTTTATCCAAAAGGATTAGCACATCATTTGAAAACCAAGGGCCCCACTTGGCTCATGTTGAGGTTAAAGCTTATTGCAGCTACATCAGGTCAACAGCGCTCCAGTTATTGATCACACTGGTCTAGATGCATTCAGCATGCCATTTTGCTAAGCAGCTAGAATGAGCCAATAATCATCAGTATAGTTCAATGATCAAATCTCCAATGTGAGTTCAATTATTATTTTAATTAATATTTAAAACGTCGTCAGACTTGGAAAACTAAGTCCAGTGGGGTTTTTTTTTAAATACTTTTCTAACATGTTAGTTATCAACATATGTTTTTCTACAAATCTTTTACAAATCTTAATGTTAATTTCTGTTAATAAGTTTTCCCTCCATATCTTGTAAAAAGCCCCTTTTTCTAGAGATCTTTACAAGGATGTTTTCATATCTACATAACCGGGAAACACCAAGATAAGGATGTTGTCTGTGTTTTAGTAAAAAATGGAAAAATAATTTCTGCACAGGGCTCGAAAAAAACCACTCAAAAACAATCAATATTTTGCCTGGTTAGTTGATTGATCAGACCAGCTTTGTTTCAAATATATTATTTTATTAGCGGATTCCTTTTAGAAGGTATCCTGACCCACGATTGCCTGTGAATTGCAACTGGATTTCATACTTTGCAATTTTGCTTAGACCAGCCATGTTGCCTTATGGTGAGACAAGGTTGATTTTGTTCTTTTAGATCAGTTGGTCTAATTGGCACTGTAAAAGTAGCTAATGATTGCACAGTTTTTTCAGAAAGAACATTTTAAATTCTCACCAAGTGAACATTGCCTTTCTTTTTTTTTTTTGTTCTAAATAAACATTTTGCCAAACATGGGAATTTTCTAACCTTGATGAGGAAACTCTTTCCACCAGGTGTGTCCATTAAGTCTGAGACAAGCACACCCAGGTGGGGTTGCACACTCATAAAGACAAAGGAGTAATATGATGTCGTTTTTTTGTTTTTTTTTTTTATATTTTCCAACCACACCTCGTCTGTTATCTCAGCTTTTCACCAGGGATGTTTTCATTTCTGGTCACTGAATCAAATATCCATGTTGAATAGAATCACTACTCACCCTAAAGGCTTTGTGGTTCCTCAGCTTCTTCCCTGCTCATCCGAATCCACCCAGCTGCATTCTTAAGACCAAAATAGACTGGAAAGTAACAGTATTATGGTCAAGTGATACATCCCTGTTCGTACTTGTAGTAAAGTCACTGTGGGCGGTTTGATGGGGATTTTACTGGGTTTGGAAGTTTCAGTTTATCACAATGCCCACTAACTTAGGAAACACCTGCTTAAGCTAGCTGCGTGGGTAAATCTTTTGCTACGGCTCTCTTGGAGGAGGAATTGATTACATTCAAGTCTGATCCGGTGTGTTTTCCGTTTAACCTGGACCCAGCTCTGAGTATTAGGGATAGTCTTTTGTTCGAGGAAAGACGTGAAAAGGGTTATTGACTTACCTTGATTACCCTGTTGTGTATTTTCCTTTTGTTTCACATGATGCAATTTCCTTGGAAAATATCCCTCGGTTATTGCCTTAAAATTACTCTGACACTAAAGGCTACACAGTTTGATCACCAGATCAGCCAGATGTCAAGGAGTTTTTTCAACTCTGAGCACATTGGACATGATTTAGAGTCCGATGTGATGGAAAATCGGTTCTTATGAAGTTGTGGCACTTAAAGCTTAATTAAAAATATATGGGGCTGTACATGACGCACAAGATATTCTGAATCTGTGCTTGCTTAGCTCCGATTGAGATAGACCCCTTATCTGTTTTTGTCTGATCTAGCAGCAGCTTGTTGGCATGGTAATGAGTCATACAGGAAAAGTGACCCTATGGCAAAGTAAAACACAATCCACTTTGGGGGAAAACAGGATCTCTGAATCTCAAGGATAACGATAAGGTTGAAAAATCAGAACTTTTCCTAATTAGGGAGTGGTTGATCAAGTGGAGCCGAGATTAAGCTTTTTTCAGTCAGTATGGAGTATAGAGAAAATAATGTAGACAAAGGATGTCTATTTGAAGACGCAGTGAGCCACTGTGCATCTAAAATACACAACAGTGACCTCACTGCAGTGATTGCGGAAATTACCCTGGACACTGCAGACTGCAGCTCTGCTTTCTTTACATTTAAAAACAATAATATATTTTTTTGACTTTTCACAATGCGACCGAGTCACATGAAGGACATACTTTCAGTGTGTGTTCAGTCCCGAAAAGATCGGGATATTTGCTCAATCTATGCAGAGAAGGAGCATCTTTATATGCACTCAATCCAGTTTAACAGTAAAAAAATGTGTATCCAAGCCTTTAGAGTCAGACATAAGTGATGTGACCCGGCTTTCAGATACTGTGTTCATACATGGCATGAGTGCCATATGTCTAATCTAGGGTAATGATAATTCTGCATACAAACAGAAGGTAGACCAGCTGGTTCACTGGTTTAGATGAACCACCTGCAGGTTAACTCGTCAGTTTGTGGAGATGGATATGAACTTCCAGAAGACACCTCGCACTTTTCTCCATCGCACTGCTTCCCAGCCTTTCTCATGAACTACGATGGTTCTCTCACTTAGAAAATGTCTTGAAGAAGGTCCAGCATAGATTGCACGAGAAGCCTGACCTTCCACAGGAGCTGCTGGGTCATCGTCTTTACAGGATTATGCAGTCTTTCCTGTTTATCTCAAGTGTGTGGTTTGGCCATCCATAAAACATATAACGGTCAGACCGCAACCAACGATAATGTCCCCATAGAGAATTATTAGGGCTGATCTTCCATCTAGGACTTGGGACAGGTCTAGGGTGAGAAAAAGGGAAGCTAACATACTCCTACACATCTTGGACACAAACTGAACTTTCACCATCAGGTCAAGATGGTAAAAGTTTTTGTTTTTCTAATGTGTTTTGAAATACTGAGCACAGTTAGCTAAGACCCTATGAAAAATCGTATGAAAACTGAGGCAAGTATTCACTCGCCTCTGGATGCTAGATGCTGGCAATTAAACGTGAGTCTGACTGCATTACCTGTTGTTTGATTAAATTTGCTCATTATTTGATCTCTTGGGAGTTTATCAAGGCTTTGAAAATCCATTCCCAGATGGTGAGCAGAAAAAAATGACTAGACACTAAAAATAACTAACCTTGTCCTGAACCAAACGAAGACTGGATCCAAATACACACATACTACTCAAAACAAGAACAAACAGAATGATGCACATACTTTGATACCATTACGGGACACAATAATTATCACAGTCCCCTTTCACTTTGCCACATTAAGAACCACAGCAGAGGTTGTTTGATGCAACAAGAAAGCTTTGACTTACGATATTTGTAGGTTAAAAAAACAAAACAAATCAAAGAATTTTTAACCTTAAACTTTGGAGTCAATTTTAGTATATCTTCGTCATTACATATAATATTTAAGATACCAGCCAAGTTAAATGGGTTGGTGTTCTCCTTTAACTTAAGTCCACATAAATGGCCCTGTTAGATTAATAAAGGTCCAGCCTGATGAATTTGGACCTTTTTCTGGAGAAAATTTCCGCCCTTTAAAGCTATTCTCTACTACTCTAAGTAATGTTTTAGAAATAAGGTTCTGGGGATGGGGGTGGGTATTTAAATCAGTACCTCTGACTGTGAAAAAAAGATTCCACTTGCATGAATGACACCTCATGCTTTTTTCCTTCACTTTCTGTTAATCTCTTTCAGCTTCTGGAATATGTTGGCAAAGGAAAGAGCATCATGGACGTTGGTTTGGCCCAGGCCCGCCAGCCGCTCACCACGCGCTGCCACTACTATGAGGTGGAAATAGTCGATGCTGGGGAGAAGTGCTACATTGCCCTGGGCTTGGCACGTAGGGTGAGCTGTCACAGTAAATGCTCGTAGAGGTTCAGACACACCTGTTTTAGAAGAGCGGTATGTTTTTGGCATTCGGCCATAACAATTTATTTCTACTTAGTGCATTAGTGAAAACAGTGTAGCTCAGTGAAGTCATGAAAGATGAACGGCAGAGGTTAGCTTCAGAGATTTGGCTCTCTTCTCTTCCTTTGTGGTCATGCCAAATAGCTGAGCTTAAATCCAAATTTTTCACAGTGCTCCTCAGAGCGTGTTTTAGGAAAAGAATAAGGCACTGAGATAGAACATCAACAGCATCTCTATCCTTTCAGAAGATCTGTTTGATGTTAATAAAATCTAATTTGATTAAAAAAAAATATTTTTAGCTCCTTACGTTTTGCACCACAGGACAGAATCTGCTTAATTAAAGCACTCAGGAACCATAATTAAATTTTTCCTGATTAAAATAATTGTATTGGGGAATTATTTATTATTATTATCTTTTTCCCTGCTCAGCAATGTATCAAAAAATAAAACAAAGTAATAGAAGAAACAAATCCATGTTCTAGGGAAAAAAACAACCTAGCATTTGAACAAAATTCATTTTCACTCATTTTTTTGGGTTAAATGTTTTTTATGTTTATCTAGAAAGTGTTTAAAAACACTTCCTTTGTTTAACCTGATTTAATCAATATTGGTATATTTTTACCACTCTGATTGCAGTCCAGGCTGCATTTTTGACTAAATTATCTAAACTGCCAGGTTTACATTTTATTTTGTACATTTGAAAACAAAATATCGCTAAAGCAAAAGATATGATTTCATTTTTTATTCTTTTGAGAATAAAACAATTTTAATGCTCTTAAAAACATTTGATTTTGTTTGACGTAATATATTGGGCATTAAGCTGCTCCCTTGTTTCTCTCTGGTTGTAGATTTAGCTGCTTGTTCTTCCACTGCGTAGTGATGCACAAACCAACAGTGATGCAAATCTCCCAGTTTTGCACTAATAAGGTCTGACTGTTGATTGGCAGGTCAAACACCAAATGAATATCTCTTTATTAAATGCATCAAAACCAAACAATTTCTCTATTTTGGGACAATAAAGTACATCAAGAACTCATCCAGGGTATCAGGTCCCAGTATTGATGAAAGTGTTTCAATAATCTGTTTACAAGACCCTGAATAAACTCATCTCCTATTAGATAAACATACAAAGACATTTTATGGGACCAGCTTTACAAATTATGGCCTTTTTTTTTTAACAAAGACTTTATTTTATCAGATCAATATTCAAAACCAATGATTAATACAATAAGCCAGAAACAACAATTTCCAATACAGCCATACAAACAATTGAGTAACAACAACCAAACAAGTCGGCGAGCTGAAAATCCATGTTTTTTTCTTTTCTTTTTTTCTTCTTTATTATTTTTTTTTCTTTTTTATTGGGGGATGAGATAAAGGAAAAATCTTTCTCGAGTGACTTTTATTTTTCTCATAACAGAGATATATGTACCCTCTGATGACATGGTCAAAAAAATTTTTTTATTGTGGCCACGAAGTAGTATTTCGTGCGCACAAAGTAGTATTTCATGGCCACGCAATAAGTTTATCGTGCGCACGAAATACTATTTCGTGGCCACGCAATAAGTTTA